CGCAAACTGGGATCCCATTGGAGGGTCCTCGGGCAAGCTCTCTGGTTCCTCGTAATAACCCCCCCAAGGCAGCTCAAACCTGGGCAAATGGCCCACAGAAGCGACGTGATGCCGCCAACGCTGGATGCGAGAGGTGGTCTCTGGAAAGAAGTTGACAGCGAAGGAGTATTGTGCTGCTATCATACACACTTACCCATCATGGACACTGAAAGGGTGATATTAGTTAAGACGGCCGCTGATGCTAGCGCGACGTAGTAAACTTGCCTGCGAATTCTGTAAGCGGGGTGATAGGCATCTTGGTGGATGTAGCGGCTGCAAAATTTGAAAGTGAGTGACAGACTTTTATACACTGGATGGCTGATGGCAGATAATGGAATTCAGCATGATTTCACTTGTGGCGAGCGCATTGCGCTCATACAATTGCACTAGAACCAGCATACCTCGTTAGATCAGGGCCACGAGGCTGACATTCGCCCGCTCATTTGTAAGGAGGTGGAATCTGGCGAGAGTAATGTTGATGGTGGAACATAGCCGCAAGCGTTCGCGAGCCCAGAATCCACACATGATTTGCCTGCCAGTGGTGACTACATGTCAAACCGGCACACACGCACCGGTAGTAGAGAGATTTTGTACACGCTCTGTGATTGCCGATGTCAGCACTCCACGCATGCTGCGAGACTCAATACATTTCCATGCAGTCGAGGCATTGTGGGCTCCACTAGTGGTGGCGACGGCTGATTGACGCTCGATACCAGTCGCCGCTGATAAACTGCGTTAGAGCCAGTTATTGCATCCGCGTTTTGCCCTTTACAGGCTAGTACGGATATTGAACACGGGATTGTAGCATAATTACCATAAGCGAGTGTGTCAGGTGGTTTTGTGGTGCACTACGGTAAGACACCCGCCAGCGGCGACCGCCTCGTGCCCGGGAAACTGATTACCTCTTCCGGACATCTACACGGGCGTTGAATAAATTGAGTGACGGCAAGTAAGCACCGAGAGAAAGCATACGGCCGCCACTGGTGATCACGCAGCCCGAGGAGCAAGGGATGTTTGTTGTTGCTGCACGCAGATGGCCGCCAGGGGCGACCCCAGTGAGATGAACGGTAAAAGTTACGGTTGGTGACTAAACATGCAGTCAACGCGGGTAGCCGCCAGTGGCGACCGCAAATCAAGATGTTGTTGGTGCGGATGATGTTTAGGCTGTACGACAAAGTAAATGTCTGCAATATGCGCACCAGAGGACATTGCATTTGGAAATCATAGCGCTTGTAGATCAGATGAGTGCCAGCGGCGACCGCAATGATATGCAGAAGAAGCTCGTCGCTCTGCCCGACGGCCGACTGCCAGTGACCACCATGTACACGCGGGGCGCGCGAACTGTCTACCGATTGAATTATTCAACGATAACAAGATTCTCATTGACCAAGTGGCATATAATTTAAATTTTAAAGGACTTTTCCTTGCAGAGCAAACTCGCGTGCATTGTTATGACATATTACAATTACATTTTCTTATCCATCTGCGATGGATCCCACGTCAGCACCGCGTTCTCAACACTCTCGTCGATTCCAGCTTGGTAAATTGTCGCCTCAGCGACGTCGTGCTCAGCCGCCGCTTGCCTGTATGCATCGCCCTCGCAAGAGAGCGCACGCTCGACCTCCCAGCTGAGGGTTGGCGATGGAGGACGGTAGGAATAGGTGGAGCGACTTGAGGAGGGAGGGCTGAGGTCGTAAACGTCCCAGATGTCGGGGGACCGACAAGAGCGGGGATGACGGGCGGCGTGATCGATTTCCTCGTTGACACCGGCGAGGTACGCTGCTGCTTGCTCGTTACTCGCGTTCACCTCGTTCACCTTGTTGATCTCGTCGTCGAATTCACGTGCGAACTCAGATCCCATGGCGGCTGACTCGTGAATCTCGCCCACGGATTCAGGCGCGAACTCCGATTCCACAGAAGGAACAGGAGGCGGAGCGGCTGTTCCTACCCAAGGCAAATCTTCGAGGACGACCAGAGGGACTGCGGAAGCCACCTCCTGACGCCAACGCTCTATGCGAGCAGCGACCCCTGAAAATAGTCAAAGACTGATCAGCGACGCTTTTGTATTTGATGCTTGCCTATGAGGCTCTGCTGCAAGTCGACTATGAGCTGGGGTGAGCAGATGCTGCTGAAATTTAATTCAGCACTTACCCGCAGCTCGCGATAACGAGGTAATAGGCATGCAGGGTGTGGCGAAAGAGCTCGCTGATGAGTGTTCAGTCGACAAAGGCTTTATAAATGTCCTCGTACGCTTTGAGTGGTGATGAGAAGGTTAATGACTGCATGCAGTGTAGCACAAGAACTCTCGTCGAATACAATGCATTTTTCCCACATGGTCGGGGCCATTAGTTTGCATACGACACGAGTTCAAGGTCGGGAGTGCAGGCATGGCACGAGGCACATCATCTGCCCGCCAGCGGCGACCACTGCGAACGATGATTTGTCGACGCGGCACAAGCACCCCCTTCTGGAGCGGAACTATAACGCCGTACTGGTCAGCAGGACGTGCACGCGCTTGGTAGCAACCAATAGGTGGCTCTGCTGTTATCGCTTGCCGATGAATTGCCTGCCAGTGCGCAGAGAGGTGCTCTAAACTGGTCGCCGCTGGCGACCACACTGGGCGACATGACGATGGACTGGCGTAACATTGCCTCTTTTACATTTGGTCGCCGCTGGCGGGTGCCTAAGTGCAAACCACGAGTAGATCTCGCGACATAAGTGCGCGCCGTGTCACCCTTTGGCGCATGCTTGATTAATCATGTAGCAGTAACTACTACGGTGTGCAATGCATTACTTACTAGTAACTGAGCTAGCAACCGCGTAGGGCCTGTAGAGCCTCTCCGGCACCTCTCGGCATGCTATATATGGTGTTTCCATCAACTAGGACTGAAATATAGACCACATTTGGGAGACATGTCATAACATACCGCTTTGGGCGCTTGTTTTTGTTGTATGACATGGAAAGGTGGATAACACATGTTTGAACATATTTGCTATACTAAACATATGTCAGAAACCAATATTGAGCCCGCTATTCACAAAATACTCGCCGAGAGTCGAGTTTTTGCGGATGTAGCGCGGACTTAAACCCCATCAGCTCCATCAAGTGCCACCAAGCTGCTATCCGGCCATCTGGCTCCTTACATCAATTTCGCTTTTGGGGGCCATTCTTGGCTCAATTCCTTCCCTCCCCTTTGTCCAATGGACTCCAAACCTTCTGGCATATGTACCTGTACCTATGTAGAGTAGTTATGTGCAGTTTAGAGTGAATATAACTGCTGTATAATATATTATACTTTTGTTTCTATTAAAAATCGATTTCTTTGGGCCTGAAAGTAGCAGGAAACCCTTTGCAAAGCTCCTACAGCTCTTCTAATGTTATACAATCATGATAGATGGCACTAGAATCCTTCCCAAGGGTGTGGGGAGCCTGAGGCATCCACAAACTCTCTGTAGAGCCTGCGAGGCTTGGCAAATAAAATGACACATATCAGATGTTTTCATATGCTAGAAGGTGTCGCTTTTAGCCCAGGATAGGACAGCCGTGGTTCATTTTCGATCCCAGGCCTTGGAAGCCGTCCGATTAAGCAGATCTTAGTGTTTTCTATGGGCGCCTATTTGCTGATCTCGTCGAAAACACCTCCTACTGGCTCAACCACTTAGAATTAGACGAGCGGATTGTTTCCAATCGATTCCCAGCCTATCAAAACGGGGGTATACAACTTTATAGGTCCAGGGAACATGTATTGGTGGAGCAGTGCATCAGTTAACCCCGGAGTGACACCTTGATGAAGTTCTGACCAGTTCAAAACCACCATCTGTGCACAGGTGTGTGCCTGGCTCCTACAGCATAGGTGGGAAGGGGATCACCACCTGGGAGGGTCAGAATATGTCAGAATACTGTGTATGTAGCTGCATTTAGCTTATCTCTGCCTGTAGGCTTCTGTACATCTGCATATGTGGTGTTTTTAAGCCCTGTTTGCATACCCATGTTGTTGAGTATAGATTGGCCCTTTCCCAGTGTGATAAGGCTCTACAGAGCTTTATATATTATTTACT